TGATTCTTCGCGGGCGCAATATTTTGTCATGCGCTTCGATTTTTGCCGTGCGCGATTTTAGCGTTTGCCTCTGTCTGTTGGGCGTGTGCGTTTACATGGCACTGTGTGGTTGCATGGCGCGCGCTGGCCGAGCATTTTTTGTGTTTGCCTTCGTTTGTTGCGCGCGCGTGGGTGTGTTTTCGTTGCATCGCGCGCGCTGGCGTTCCGTTGCTTGTTTTTCCTTCTTTTCGCGTCTGTTTTCGTTGCATGGCGTGTTGGCGCTGGCGCTCGCTCGAGTTTCGCTCGCAATTCGCTATTTAAACGCCCCGTGCAACTCGCTTGGACAGGAACGAGGAGTTCATTTGCTAGCTTAGAGTCACACATGGCCAGTTCATTTGGTACCTTTGATCTAAACGTGCCGGTACTGGAAGACAAAGACGGCAATGGTGGGTTCGACCTCAATGGCAACGGTAATGTCTCATAGTATCATGGCCAGTTCAAATCTTATTAGTTTCATGTGTCACATGGTCAGTTCATTTCTTACTAGTTCAATGCTTCCTTTTTTATAGGATTTGATTTGAACTTGCCACATGACGAATATGGTGCAGATGATTTTGATTATGTACAAAACCTCGCCGGTAAGATAAACCTCCCTTGCTTTTTTAAAGTAAACTTTGCTCGTAATCAAAATCGTTGGATTTAGTGTGTTTATTTTTTTTACAATTAGAACATGCTGTTGAGGCTTCCGTTCAAGTCAACCAGCGAAGGAAAGATATGACAGAAGAAGTCACAAAACAAGTTTATCAAGCTTTGTTGGCTAGAAGCAAGACCTGCTAGCGAGGCGGCGAGCTAGGCGACAACCTTCATCGTCGTTGTCATCGTGGATCGTGCCGCAGCGAACACATATAGAAGGCTTGGACTCCGACAACAAGTAGTATGGCACAAAGGACTCCGAAGTCATCTCCATGGCACCAGCAACGATCGTGGGTTCCTGCTCGAAGTCATCCTCCATCGTTATCTCCATGGAGTCTGCCGCGCTAACTCCTCCGACGTCACAGAGTCCGCCGCTGCATCCATGGAGCGACGAAGCGGTGAGCGCGGCGTCGGCGAGGAAGCGGCGAGCACGGCATAGGCGAGGAAGCAGTTAGCTTGTTCGCTTGTTGGTTTCAGCCAAAGCTTATCAGCTATGCTACAATATTTTTTTCTCACAACAAATCAACACCAGCCAGGCTTATCAGCCCAGAAACTAACCAGTGAACAGGCTGAGTGAGCGCAGCGTCGGCGAGGAAGTGGCCAGGCCAGGATAGACGAGCGGTTGAGGACGAAGGGAGGCGCGGCATGCGAAGCGAGGCTGTGCTATTATTAGTATGCGGTGATTAAATGAGCGATAAACGGGCGACGCGGTGTGTAAAGTGGCAGGGGCAAAGCCATCCCAAATCATGAATGCAAGCGCTCAACGACATCCTTTACATAAATAGGCAGAAGTCCCAGAACGCATTCCTTTTGTTATACGGAGGGAGTAGCAGCTAGCTATTTCTATTGGGGACGCCCTAACAACATCGACGTGATGAACTAATTGATGGTGCAGACTGTGAGCGGTCGTTCGCATAGCCGATCAATGAGTAAGCATTGTGAATCGAGACATCACTAGCCTCATGATGTGTGGGCCCCTTGTGCTTCGGTAATTGAGACGTTACGCGTGTTGGGTGATTGCAACTGGGACGGCCAAACACGGAGCGGGTAACAGATGTTCCTCGATCGAATAGATTTTTTTTTCACTGTGTGTACAAACTTAAGTGTCACTTCAGCTAGCTCATAACAATACACGTCAGCACTTTTTTTTATGTGAATGAGATAGAAGATAGAAAAGAGAAGATATTATCTCTTATCTCAACACATATCTCATTCAGAAAATGAGATAGTTGTGGGCCTGTTCATAGAGAATGAGGAAAGGAGAAGAGAAGATATACAATAAAAAATTATTTACATGTGGAGTTCTCATAACGAAGTGACAATAATATAACATATATAAGCTAACTGTTGTCTCGTATTATTGAGGACGTCCTTAGCTGGACCGGAGCACACGTCAGGGTGTACTTGGCATTGCCCCCTAGCTACGCCCCTGTTTTTGCTTTGAGGAGTCCTGGCAACACTTGTTTCTGATTATATAGTATAGCTAAAAACAATTATAGTTAGTCATTTCTCAAATATGGGAGATCAATTTAGGGGATACTTTTGAATCTGCCGGTGGTTTTTGATTAGTAATACCAACTTTTCAGTACACAATTGCATCACTACTGCGGCTCTTTAGAGCTTATGGAAACTTAGAAATGATATTTGTTTTCAAAGAACCTGCTGGTCAAGGATGGAAAAGCTCTACATGAGCATTGCTGGAATGACACAAAATTGGTGTCCAACAAACAAGCAAGAGAATCAAACAATATAATGTATTCAACATCCTGGGTAAAAAAATAATATATATAACAAACATACATATGCGGATATGCCTATGATCAACTCTAGAGTAATACTTATGAATGAAATTATCAAACGAACTTATCCCTGTGGAACTTCTATTTATTTTGTCGATACAATAATACTATCAAATAATTCTTGTTGAATTAGGAGTAGTAGCTTGGCGGCTGCTGGAGCGGACGCCAAGGTAGGCTAACTACTGCTTCCTCCTTCACATGAAACGACGACTTGTTGGTCGCCGCTGCACCAACGCGGCTGGTTCCTCCCGATCCCAGCTGATACGGACCCAACCCACTCAGCCTGCACGTTTAATTTAATAAATTCACCCACACAAATAAAACGAATCAGTTGACTGCAATGCATCATCAGTAAAGCATGCAACAGATGCACTCAATTCGTTCTAAATTATAAGATATTTGGTTTTTCTAGATATATAGCTTTTGTGATGCACATAGATATACATTATGTCTAACGTACTAAAAAAAAATGTATCTAGAAAAATCAAAATATCTTATAATTTAAAATGGAATGAGTAGTAACTTAATTAAAAAGGCCGCAGGTAGTAGTGAATTAGTATATATAATTTGGTCAAAATTAAATCTGTATATCCCAAAATCTAGACCGGAAAAACAAGTCATATTAGGGAGTAAAAAGTATTCTCGAAAGAGTCATGCATGCGTCAACTATGCCTGTATTTTTGGTCGAAAAACTGAGCAACCAAATCAAACGCGATCATACATATGATCAGAGCAAATATTGCTTTATGAACAGTTTGCTTTGGTCGTAAACGATCGTGGATTATAAATCAGAACAATATTTTTCTTTTACACTAAATCAACCAACAATAATAATCTATAATCATATACGATCGTATCAGCGCTAGCCGAACAGGCTGTCGGTTGGTGCTGGGCTATGGACTGCGTGCAAAGCTAGCCATCGCTGTCCGTCACGTCCAAAACTTGGGTTTTGATTGTGCTACCCTTCAACTGACCGATCGAGATTGTTGAGGTCCAAATAAAGGACCCACACGGTTTATATACTTTCGTTGATGCCAGCAACGACTGATCACACGTATCCTGTTTAATTTTGATTTATATTTTATTTATTTATATACAGTAATATCTTTTATCAATGGATGGTCTAGGCTTTGACTGCATCGAGTGTTGGATCATGCTTCCTCCATCCCAAATTATAAGATTTTTTGATATTTCTATATTCATAGTTTTTATTATGTACGTAGACATAATATGTATCTAGGTGTGTAACAAAAGTTATGAATTAAAAAAGCCAAAGCATCTTATAATTTGGAATGGAGAAAGTAGTAAGGCATGCTTGGATGATATGTTGAAGTGTGCTCAAAACTAAATATTCGTGGTATTGAGAGATTTAAGTTTTAGATCACTGACATGAAAAGGTTTGGCTTGTATAGAAGAAAAAAGAGGTTCCCAGAGGAGTTTGCAAAGCTCTAGAAAAATATTAAAACTACTCCAATCCGGACACAAATAAGCGATGTTTTGGTATATTATCAAGTACTCAACCATTTCAAACTTAATTCCTCTGTCCCAAAATAAATGTTGCTATAGTATTCGTGCCGGTCAATTTTTTTTTAAGCTTGACTAGGTTTATAGAAAATATCAGCAATATTTATATCTTTAAATAAACTTATTATGAAAATAGATTCAACAGTCTATCTAATTATACTAATTATGTATTATAAATATTAATATTTTCTCATATATATTTGATCAAAGGGGATGAAGGGAGTAGATTACAAGTTATTTGTTGTGTTTCGAATTTGAATATTTTTTATAAGAAAAAAGATGGTACAGGTAACATTGTATTAGAAGAGTAGTTTCGTAATAGTATATTTTTGCTATGTGTTACAAATATATATACTAGCAAAAAAGTAGTGATCACATTTGTATTTTAGGGACAATGTCAAAATGTCACTTATTCATGACTAGTGTTCAAAACTTATATTTGGCAGTACCATGCTTTTGAAAACAACAAAAGATTTGTTGAAAAAAAAATATATTTTCAAAACAAGGTATCCTGTGTAACCATGGTGTTTTTTTTTCTTATAAAAAAAGCAAACTCCAAACAAAACTCTGTGTCCAAACAGGCTATAGTATGTTCAGCATCTTAGTCGTATATATATGATATTTCTACAGACAAAACAAAACACACCAACTATACTGCAAATACTGAACACCGAGCGTTCATATAATCCAAACACTCATTTTCCTATTCGTCTACTTTTGACCTACTGCTTCCCACTTTTATGCGTACAGAAGTCATCGGTGGAATATTCATAAAGTTGAAAAAGAAAAGGTGAGCCGGCTGGTGACCAAACCTGATATGCATGCGATTATTTTTTGTGCTACTCAAATAGTCTTTTGTCACTTGAAATGTACTAAACGCATAAGTTACTTATTGGCCAAATATAATCACTTATATTAATATGAAACCATTGCACATAATACTTCAATTAATTAAATCAAACAGAATCATAATTAAGTGCAGGGTTGCATGATGGCCATGTACGTTTACCGCTCTTTTCGCTTCTGCAGAAACTGCTGCAGCGATTTGGTTCTTGTGAGTGGCATGTCTGCAGAGCAAGAACAAATTGGAGAGAGAAACAGTTAATTAATAAGGTTGAGAGAGAGAGAGAGAGAGAGAGAGAGAGAACTAGTGAAATCGTTAGCAGTGACAAAAAAACTACTCTGTAGCTAGTTAGCAATTCGAGACGGCCTACCTTTGGTCAAATTTCCAGCAAATGTGTCGCCACGGACGACGCGGCGGCCTCCATTGGAGGTAGTAACCTCCATCGCCATCTTCATTATAGCCTCTGCCTTGTCCTGGGAGACGCCGTCGAAGGTGGCCACGGCGCCGTTGTAGAAGACCGTCATCGGAGCCTGCTGCTGCTTGTTGGGCGCCTCGTCGCCAACGATGACGCGGCGCAGCTGGTGCGCCCCGATGCTCGCTATCGCGCTCGTCTTCATGCCTGCATGCACCGATGATCCGGATGCGGAGGTCAACAACCAGCCAAGTACGCTTTTATTGCTAGCTAGCTAATTCAATTCAATGATCGGTTTCGATCGATGTGGGGGAGAAAGAAATTAAGCCGGCCGCGATCGAGACCTCGGATGGAGGAGGAGGACGAGGTGGTGGTGGTGGTGGTGGTGCCGCCGGTGGTGCTGCCGTTGTGGTGGTGGTCGGTGGCAGCAGCAGCAGTAGGACGGAGGCCGAGGAAGTCGAGCTCTACCGGCGCCATCGACGGCATGGCCGGTATACCTGAGGGATCGGTGTTGCTTGCTAGCTGAAGGAGAGAGGCCGGAGAGAGACTGCAGCTAGCGCGGTGGGTTTGAACTTTGAAGACGTGCCGCCGCCCTGCCCAGATTATAAATTGATGACAACTGACAAGGCAATAGCAGTTCAAGTGGTACATGTATGCATAGCCACCGTGTCGTCTTTAATTTGTTGTGGTTTTTCCCCTCGTGGCACGGCAGGTATGAACACGCAAGACAAGATGACGACAATAGAGCCACGCGAAAACGACCGATCTCTCTCTACGCACAAAAAACATATGGCCTAGTCCTTAAGCAAGATCACACTAACAATAGTATTCTCAGGTGTGTAACATAAAAACCTACGAGCTAGGAGCACACTACATACCACGAGAAAAAGAAATCCTAGGTTGAAAAACAAGTACTTCAAGTACACATAGCACAAAAAAGACCATAACTCATGAATATAATGCAAGGAGTGGAGCGGACAAGAGGCAACTGATTTTCCCTGTGATATTGGGATGTCGGGACACCCCCCACCCACCCTCACAAAAAGTCCACGTTGTTGTACCCGCCAAGGTAACAACCTTGAGTCACTAAGACTCAAGATCTTCTAAGAGTATCGATCTTCCATCTCTGGAGCCGTGGATAAAAAATCACATGCAAGTCACAAAGACTTCGAAGCCCCCATAAGATTACCAAGAGCTATTTGTAGTCACCTCCAATCACCAAGACCGTCTAGGTGCTCTCAATCACTGAAAGTAACAAGAACAAGAATCACTCACTTGACCAAGACAAGCCTAATTAAGCTCTACCATGCACACTTGTCACTCCAATCTCTCTCTTGACCTTCTAGTAACAAGATGACAAGATACCTCAATGGATGCCCTTTAGGTGCTTGTGTTAGGGACCGTGACACCTAAGAAGGGGGTGAATTAGGCAACTTAAAAATCAATTTCTAACTATGACCTCTAAATTTCACCTTAGCAAAACATATGCAAATAAACAAACTATATATATCTAAATGTGCAACTACGGTTTTGCTAATGTATTGCTATCTTTACCACAAAAGAGTTATGCAACCTAAGTTCCAATCCTATCAACTAGCCTATCAACTAAGCTAGTAAAGATAAAGCACACAACCAAGATTACAATATAAATGCGGAAGCTAAAGATCAGGCAGACATGCAAACTCCCATCGATGACTCCGATATTTTTACCGAGGTATCGAGAAGCGCGCAAGCTTCCCCTAGTCCTCACTGGAGCCCCTCATAAGGAATCCCTCTCAAGGGCCAAGCTCCCGGTCGGGTAACTCCGTGGATAGCCCCGGCCCTTCCCCACATGCAAGTGGGTCTTCGGTGTGCCTTCCGACAAGCCTCTCCCGGATCGCTCCCCACCATCTTCACTATCAAGCTTCCGACCGAACTGTCATGGGCCTTGTTCCCTCCGTACACGGTGGCGGCTACACCACAAACACGGTTGGTGTAGTCTCGCAAGACTTACAAGCCCCGCCAGGTAAAACAATGGTGCGCGCAAGCACCGAGAGATAAGAGATGTGCAAACCTCACTAAACACTAGGCCTGAACCTAGAGCAAGTGCATAAACGGTGATCTAACTAATTTAAGCACTTCGCAAAGCACCTACTCTAATCACCTTGTGATCTATTAAGCCCTATACAAATGGAGAGCTCAAATATGATGTATCAACACTCTAGCATCTTCCCATAGCTTCTCCCCGGTTCATTTGGGCGGTTGGGGTGGTATTTATAGACCCAAAAGTGAGAACTATCCATTGGTCTTGAGCCCAACTTTTCTGCTAGCACCGAACGCGTCCAGTGTCTCACAACGATCATCGTGTTAGAGTCAAGCGTTGAACCGACCATTGGCGCGCTCCTTACACCAGACGCTGACCCCAAGTTTGATACCAACCATCGGACACGTCTGATGCAGATCACGCCACTCTAGAAACTCTCTAGAGTTGATCGGACTCCGATGCCGCAACGCCCGGTGCTCCTGCCGCTAGCATCCGATGCATATTGAGCTACTACGTCTTTGGTGAACAGTGCATCTGTCGGGTCCAGTGCCTAACACACACATAGCGTCTGATGCATGGACTGACGCCATTGCTAGGGTTACCCATCGGACGCATTCGATGCCCCTTCTCCTTTGTTTTCTTTGTGATCCTTGCATCCGGCTTGGTTCCATCTTCGTGCCTTAGACTTTGCTTGATCTTATAGGTCTCCCATTATGCTTCTAAGGTCTCACTACTACACTCGGACCTTTCGCAGTCCAATTTTGGTCTCGGCAGTAAGCTGTCAGTAGTGATGATCATAGCCCTCACCGTCGCTATCTGAGACTGTCTACGGTGTACACTAACACTGCCGCATTGGCTTATGATCCGTCCATGCTACGGTCTTTACTTCCGTCGCATTGGTGCATGACCCACCTGTATGGGTATGCACTAACACCACCACATGGCTTATAATCCATCCATGATCAGATCCTTATTCCGCCGCATTGGAGCGTGACCCGCTTGTGTCGAGGCGAACATCACCATCGCTTAAGCATATGAACCGTCTGGTCATAGAGCATGATCACCGTCGTGTTGCAGTATGATCTACCTATGATGATCCTTTAGTCGGTGTTGGGTTACTAAATGATTCGGCGGTGATACACTATTGACCCCTCCTCATCAGACGAATAGCGGCGGTGATGGCATCCGGTTTTCACAATGTATTTACTAATTCAGCTGGGCCTTAATAACTTACTGAACACACACCATACAGATTTAATCATTACACATCATTCATCACGTCCACAACAAAGAGTACTTGTTATAATAACAATGCTCGACACTAACATAACAACTGTGTCAACTGATGAATTAACACAAGCAGTACATAGATAGTATAATAAAGGTTCTGCTCCCTATAGACTTATGTAACTAAAACAAGGTAGATGTGCTCCTCTCCTTCAGATTAGCACTCCTTGATCAGCTTGGCAGCCAATGCAGCATGGAACCCCTCTTCTTCCTCCCATAGCCATTGCATGAAAATCGTTCAAAAGCAATGACACTCCAAAACTTGCACAATGCAAAGCTTTACTGCTCTGAACAAAATTGGACTATATATATAGACTCAAAATAACTCCCTACCTAAACAAAGACATATCTTAACAACAAAATACAGCATATGCACCTTCACTACTCTGTTAATGACTCCATGAACAAGGGAACATAAGGCAGATAGTGAGGTCCGTTCAAATAAATACTCTAGGTACTTCTAGGATAGCGGACGACCCGGGTAGGGAGGACATGAACTTCGGATTGGTAGCCAATGCACCATAGAACCCCTCTTCTTCCTCCCTTAGCCAATGCAGGAAAATTATTCAAAAGCACTCAGACTCAACCTACACAAAGCAGCAGAATTAATGATATTGAACACACCATTTCTTTAGTTACCAAGCCCAAATTGGCCTATATATAGAATCAAAACAACTATCTACCTAAACAAACAAAATACAACAAATGCACCTTTACTTCTCTACTAATGACTCCATAAATAAGGGAACATAAGGAAGATAGTGAGGTCCGTTGATAGATAGACTCTAGGTAGGTCTAGGACAGCGGATGACCCATATAGGGAGGACATGAACTTTTCTGTGGTTCATGTCATATGCAAGCAGTGTTTTGTCCACCCCAACAAGGAAAATCAAATTCCATTCAAGGTGAACTGCAATCACTCTGTACTCCGCATCACAAACCTCGTAACTAAATTCAATATTGTTCTGTCTAAATATCTCCAGCGTGGTCACCGTATGCTTCAGTGTCCATCTATTACTACCATAGTCTTCAAGGATCTAGATTAAAAGCTGAGTCATAGTGTAAATATCAACAGTACATAAACACAACTGACCCTGGGCTTCATGGATGGAGATTGCATCACCACGTGGCTTCTATATTTTTGTCCATGTCTTTCCATCCATATCAACAGCAACGATCTGGGAGAACTCGAGCCAGTACATAAAACCATTAAGAAACACACTTCTCGTATATGTGGATACTATAATACCATCGCCCCATTCAGATTCTTTAAAGATCCAAGCTGCACTCTTAGATGAGTAGATGCCTCACACCTACGGACTCACCCTCCCTCATCTTCCCATATTCAAACACATGGAAGTGTGAGGAGACTATCGGATCAAACCCCAAGCGAGCCTCGCCACAAGAACAAAGGTTATCCAGCAATAGCAACAATTTGTTAGTTGCTGGATTACAGACAACATAGCTACACCCAAAACACCAGCAGAGGATGAGGCAGCAGCAGCAATCTAAGACGACAACATCATGAATGGGAAAGGACAAGAAGGAGAAGGAGGGGTGTTCACCGGTGACGCTTGTTGATACTTAACAACTATTGGAGGAATTCTGCAAGTGCATAGAACTATCGCGCAACACTTCGCTCGGTGAGTACTGAGTGTCGAATTTATATTTTTCCCATAGGAAGGCAAAAGGCTAGAATTTATATTTACTGGTAGGTTGCTAAGGGAAGCCTAAGTGTATCCTAGGTAAGTGAACGATAGTGGAAGTTGAATGTGAACTACTTAAACTAAACTACTAAACAAGCTACACTAGAGATAGCTAGGTGGGAGAGCGAGCGATTTATCTTTCAAGTAACTAAGGGTAAACTAATGACTAGGAGAAATGAGCTAGTACTTCGGGGCACAACCCGCATACCAACTAGGAGAGTTAAATAGACAAGGTCTGCCATGAGTGCTATGATTTATTAACTAGACCTATCGTGGTGGAATACAGAGGATGGACAAGGTTGTCATCACTTGCCACCAACCACAATCTATCTGAAGGCCTAGCCATATCCATAGGTAATCTATAGCCTAAGCATCATACTTAATCTATAAACTTACTACTTCGATCCGAGCTCCGATGAAATGAGATCAAAGCACCCTAACCAGATGGTGGAACCAATACTAACGAACAG